AGGATTTTATTTGCTTTCCCCAGTGATTTATGATATTAAACATTTTAAATGCTTATTGGTCAGTCTTATCTCTTCTCAGAATATCTATACAAGCCCATTTTCCATTTTTGAGTTGTATTTGTATGCTTCTTTATTGAATTTTAACTGTCCCCATAGTCCTATTAATAACAGTTGACAATCATGCATGGTAGCCATGTTCAAGGCACTGTGCCAAGTATTTGGCTTGCCTGATCTCACTGAACCACTGCGCCGGCATTATGAGGAGATGCAGTCTCCTACCAGGAAGCAGAGGCTCAGAGAAACTCTTTTACTTACTGTAGGTTACCCGACTTAAGGTTTGCCTGAAAATATTTTCAATGCAAAAGAATTTCATACAAATACATGAGGAAATCGGAACTCGGGGAACAACCAAGCTAGAAATAGAAAGTAGGGCTTGATAACCTCAGGGCTTGATCATTGCTGAGAGCAAGAGGATTATTGATAGAGAGTTATTCCACCAGAGCTCCAAGGGAAATGCAATCAGACTGGGAGGAGCAATAGCTACAAGATGAAAAGACTGCATGCAGCCTCCATGGAAGATAATATGATCTCTCAGAAAAATAGGAATAGAATGATAACCCAGCAGCACTGCTTCTTGGTTTTTATCCTTCAAACACAAAAGCATTCATTTAAAAGAACTCTGTGTTCATCATCCCACTTCTTATAACAGGCAAACTGTGGAAACAACCCAGATACCCAACAGCAGACAAGTGGTATAGACACACCACAGAATATTACACAGCTCTAAAAAAAAGAACAAAACAATCTTCCACAACATGGATGGAATTCGAGGGCACTCTTAGAAGAAAAAGGGCCAGTCAGAAGAAAAAGGATGCTAGAGAATGATCTTAAACTTACTTAAACTTACACAGTGAGGTAGCAATAAAGGGCCAAAGGCAACACAACAGGAGAACTGATCCATACAACTGAGTTGTTGGGGAAGGGGAGAGGTACTGGGGTCCTTGGAGGAGGGAGGTGAGTACCTGGTGAAGCGTGTGATGTTGGAACCATGTGCATAGGAAACCATCATTAATAGTAATGAACCTCACAGAATCTCCATCAATAAAAAATGTAGTAAAATCCAAGTGCCAGAAACGAGTGTCCTGAAGGTGAGCTGGGTATGTTCCTGCCACTGCGGGAAGGATCTGTGCATCAGAGCTGTGGCACAGGCTGCCTCTGAGCTGCCGGAGCCCCTCACACTGCTGGCACAGAAGTGAGGGCACCCTGTCTGCTTTTACATCTCTTTGAGGCACCCCCCAAGGCCAGACCAGCTGCTTTCGGAACAGAGCTGGCCTGGTTCCTTGGGGACATCCGTGACTGTAGAACGCTGGTCCTTGTCCCTCTGCTTCGGACTCAGTTCCCAGCCCTGCCCATGGGGGTGTAGCACCCAGGATGTCAGGGTTCACTGCTGCCTCTCAGGCACCCCTTCCCGGGGGGCTGGTACCCCAGAACACTTTCCCCAGAAGTGTGGAAGCTCAGGCAACCAGTGCAGAACCTGGGCCACTCCAGTGAGGCCCCAATGAACCCCCTTCTACAGATGTCAAAACTGAAGGGGGCAAATGGAGTCACTGATTCAAATGATCACGTGAAGGTCTTGGTCCTCTGATGACTGGGGCCTTTTTAGGGGTGGGGTGGGGAGTGGGCTTCCTAGCTGGCCACACTTGAGATCACTTAGCTAGTCCATGCAGGCCTGATAATGCTGGGGACACGGGGGTACTGAGGTGCCGAAGACTTATCTTGAGGATCAAACATCGGCCTCGGGCATGCCCTCTAGCCCTTGGAGCCATGTCCCCACCCCTTTTCCCAATCTTTAATGCATGGAGACAGTCGATTGGGGATGTGGGTGGGTAGCTGACTAGCGAGGAGCCACAGAACCCCCAGTCCTTGGGGAGAAATCAGAAGGGTGTGGAACTCAGTGTTTGGAAGGGCGCACAGATGAGACCAAGTCTCTCTAGGGCCGTTCCGGAGATTAATGGCCATAGACAAGGGGCCTCACGCATCACTAGGGAGAGGATTTCAAAGACCCTTAAAAATCATTGGGAAACATTTCAAACGGAAACCGCTCGCAAAGCAGCCAAGGCCCGCCGAACGCGCTGGCATATAGCTCACCAGGCGATGCTTGTAATCTAATTGCCTATGAGCAAGAGTTTAAAACAATATTTACGATGTGGAAAAATAGCCCATGATTTGATTTGTACAGAAGAAACATGCCTAATGAGTAAATTAGATTTTGATCTTGCTGGCTCAGGCCCAGGGAGTGGAGCCTCGCCTTTCACAGGGGCGGGCCTCGCCTGCCCTCCGCCCCCACCCCCATTCCGCACGCCCCCCTGGCACGGTTCTCTTGACAGCTGTATGCCCTGGTTTGAGCCTGACGCCGGCACCATCCCAATCCTCCTCATGCCAGTGCTCAGCAGAAAAGCAGGGCCCCCTCTCCCCTGGACCTCCAGGAGATTTCAGCCCAAGCTCTCGCTCCAGGAAGCTCCTTATTGCCCCAGCCCGCTGTTTTCATCTCCAATAGCTCTGCGAGTCTTTGGTACACAACTGGGCTGCGAGGAGATGGAGCAGGCTTCTATCTAGCCGCTCCCTAACTTGCATTGGCGTTGCTGGGTTGTGCGGTCCCCCAAAGCACTCAGACGTTCCTGGGCAATCTGGATTTGCTACATTTCTTGTCTTATTGAATAGAGGCGTTCTGGTTTTAATTGCTTGCATCTGCCCAGAGTCCTGCCTCCTTCTGGAAAGGACACCCTGGTTCCCTTTTGGGAAAACTACCGCCCACTGTCACATCCCCAACTCCGGTTCCCGAGGTCCAGTTAACCAAGTCGACTCTTCCTTTGCTCCAGGGGGAGGGGAGGGGCTTGATCACAACACGTGACTCAGACCTGGCCAATCAGAAGCACCATGCCCCTTGGATACAGTGATTGGGACAGGAATGGCACGTGACCCACGCCAGGTCCTTGAAAGGCCTCTGGAGTAGCTCAGGCCTCACCTTGGAATTGCTGAGCCCGGAGAAATCAAACCCTGGTCCCTATGGTGACCTATGGGGAGAATCACCCATTAGGGAGCTCGCCTTCGAGTGAAGGCAGGACTGGGATAACGAAGCTGCGTTATCCCAGAGATTCCCAGAGTGCCCATCAGAGCACGGGATTTGGGGTGACTCCAACTTTCCAGTTAGCAGCTCCGTAGGTAGCTTGGGTGACCAGTGGCCCCTTCTGGCCCTGAAGTGCAGGGCTGTCACAGCAGAGTGTTTCTGACGTCGTTCTGCAGACAAGAGTCACGGGCCTCACGCTCCCCGCCTGCCTTGCTCCAGCTTGGCTTTGCCCCTGGGTGCAGCAGACCCCTGGAGAAGCAAAGTCCACCAGCCCGAAGAGCGCCCCAGTCTCGGAGCGAAAGTCAGAACAGCCAAGGTGGAGAGGACGATGGGGTGCTGTTGCTATGGGGAAAGGCTCCCACTGCCGGAATCTGGGTCCCTCGGTGCAGGCGGGCTCTGGGTAGGCAGGAAGAGGGGTCTTGAGGGAAGCCTCCCGGGTGGTTGATAGCGTCAACAGTGAGATTGGCAGCAGGCAGGACTTTCAGGTGAGGAGCACTGAGACCTCCCCTCCACACCAGTTGCACCCCCACCTGTTTCAAAGAGCCCCCAAACAGAGATCCCAGCCGCTTCTCTCCCTGCGCATTCGTAGCCTTCCCCACCGGGAGAGGAAGCGCAGTAACCTCGTGGTCGTGAGGGGTGTGCGTGGGCTAACGGGAACCGGGGCTCTCCAGCCAGCTGGGAGTTGGCAGCAAGACGCCAGTCGCATCCACCCCAGTTCTGCGGATCCAGGACTTCATGGCTTCACCGTTTCCTGACTGGTGCCGGGGCCTCTCACCAGCCTTTATACTTTGTGTCGTGGCCATTCCCAACATTGCTCGGGGGCCACTCTCTGGGTACGTGGGGGCGCCGTGTGGGGGCGCGGACAGAAACCAGACCTCCCGTATGCGAAGTACGTCCCTTAGCCCTCTGAACCATCTCCCATCCCATCTGTCCTTTTATAGTCTCATTCATCAGGGAATGGGCATATTTTGGTCTCTGCCTGGTTCTGAAATTCCCGAAAGCGCCCAGAAGGGAAACCCCTGCAGGTCCTCCCCACCCAGCACCAAGCGGGAGGGTCTGCTACAGCTCGGTCACTAAGTGGCTCCAAATTCCAAAGCCTGCTTTCCTCTCCTCTCCGCTGCCAACGAGAGGAAGAAAAACCAGGTCCCGGCAGGTAACGCGTCTACCCACATGCTCTAGGGTGCTTGTGCTAGGACGAGGTACAGGGCGTCCGCAGAGAGGGGAGGGACTTGGTTAAAACACGTGGCCCAGACCTGGCTAATCAGGAGCATCAGTGATTGGCCACAGTGATTGGTCAGGAATAGCACATGATCCACACCAGGCCAATGAAAGACCTCTGGAGACATTCATTCCTTAGAGAAGTCTCAGCTACATCCTGTCATGTGGCCAGTAGAAGTGCTTGGAGGTGCCCATGGCCAATCAGGGCTTGCGGGCTAGAAATAAGAATTGTCCTTCAGGTTCAAGATGTGTCTCAAGTGGCGATATGGAAAGTGAGGCCCTGGATTCCCTCCTAGAGCTGCGTGCACCCCGAGCTCAGCATCACTGGGGTGCTCTGATGTCCCCCAGGATTGCTAGGTGGACACTGAGCACCACAGATGCACCAACACAGTACAAGAATTGTTCTTTGAACACCGGGCAGTAAGTTCTGAAGAGCTGGGCTGTTTAGTATCAACGCTTAATCTCATAGGAAGACCATCTCATGGTACTTTTCCTGTAAGGTTATATTTAATAATATTCTTTTCTTTGATCATCTCTCAAGGAAAGACTCACTGTAGGCAGTGTTATTTCTTTTGCCCACGAATGTTTGTGACAGTTGCTCACTAATGATACTTGCCAAGATGAGTGTATAGGACCGTTTCTCATAGACAATTCAAAGGTAATGAATATCAAGCACATATGGATGCTTTGGGCTGGAGTGATAGCACAGTGGTAGGGCGTTTGCCTTGTGCGCAGTCAGCCTGGCCAAGCCAGGTTCGGTTCCTCCGCCCCTCTCAGAGAGCCCGGCAAGCTACCGAGAGTATCTCTCCTGCATGGCAAAGCCTGGCAAGCTACCCATATGTATTCAATATGCCAAACACAGTAACAACAAGTCTCAAAATGGAGACGTTACTGGGCCCGCTCAAGAAAATCGATGAACAATGGGAGGACTGTGCTACAGTGCTATGGATGCTTTAGGGTAAGGCTGAGTAGAATGCATAATTTTGTCCACAGAAAATTTGAAATGAAGCAAGTGCCAGGTGGAATTTTTTTCTATTCCATGAGCTATGTTAATTCTATCTTCATTAGGCCTAATGCTTGAATAAACCAGATGTCTAATCAATAAATTATTTTCATGCCCAGAATTTCAGGGTTTTGTACTGTAGCATAGTTTGGTCTTATTCCTTACTGTAGAAAACTTAACAGTAATGTGACTTAAGGTTTGTTTTGTTTAAATGGGGAATGAAAGTGATTTAATTCATGGGTACTTTTAGAACCTAATAGATAATCCCATTGCCTTTATTTTTCTAATTAAAGAATTCCTAAATACTTTGAAAATATAAAATATTCCTAAATGAAGAGCTGGGCTGGCATTAAAAATGGTACCCAGGGCCGGAGTAATAGCATAGCGCGTAGGGCATTTGCCTTGCACGCGGCCGACCTGGGTTCAATCCCCAGCATCCCATATGGTCCCCCAAGCACCGCCAGGAGTAACTCCTGAGTGCAGAGCCAGGAATAACCCCTGAGCATCGCTGGGTGTGACCCAAAAAGGAAAAAAATGGTACCCATATGGCATCTGCTGAGAGATTGGGTCCATCACCCCGACTTTACAGAGACAATTAAGGCTCCCTGTGCTGAAGCCTCTTTGGCTGGAGTCCCAGCCCGCTCCTCACCCCTACATCAGTTCCATGTTCCTGCTTTCCCTCACAGTGCCGATACCCACAAGTGCGGCACGACTGGGAGTGGGTAAGAAGACTCAGACACCCGAGCCCTGCTGACAGGTAAGGAGGCAGCCTGGGGACAGCCAGGTTCCTGCCTTCCTGGGCTGGTCTCTCCCCTCTGCTCCACAGCTCTGGTTGTGGGGGATGGATGTCAGACTTCAAAGGTGCCGCACATTGTCCCCTCCACCCCCCACCTCCATCCATGAGAACTGTGCCCCAGCCCTGGAACAAAGGCCTTCCCAGACTCATCACCTGCTCGGCACTTAGCACGGAGCTTAATGAAAGGAAACAGAGCTGCTTGGAGGGAGCATGAGGAGTGAGCAAGCGAGCCCATGACGCTAAAGACATGGCCATTACTAAAGCCAGGCTCGCTGCTCAGACACCGCTTGAATCCCAAACAGGACAAATAATTGGAAATCTGAGCAGGGTGAGTGGTTGGGCCAGGGCTGTGGATGACAGAGGTCTGGCAGCTGTGGGAGGCCTTCCCTGCGAGCTCATGTGGCCAGGACAACAGCTCCGGGTGGGAGACATTTGGGTCCTCCCAGCCTATAGCTCTGGCTGACACCTGGAGTGTGGCACCAGCTCCCACTTAACAGGATGTGAAATGTGTCACACACTTGTTGTCTCGGTTCTCTACAAACATTACTTGATTTAATCCTATTATACACACATTCTCTCTCTCTCTCTCTCTCTCTCTCTCTCTCTCTCTCTCTCTCTCTCTCTCTCACACACACACACACACACACACACACACACACACATACATACGCGCGCGCGCGCGCATACACATAGGCACATACAGACACCATCTTCTATTGAGTACCAGTAGCATTCCCATTTCACAGATGAGGAAACTCAAGGAGTTAAGTCATTTTCCCAGACTGAGCTGGGGCTCTGGAACTCAGTGCTTATTCCCTAGATCACCGTGCTTCCCTGAGGGAGCCGGGCTCTCATCCCCGCTTGCAGATAATCTTGATCAGGACTGACATTCCCCAGTCAGCAAGCATTCGTCGGAGAGAATATCTTAGCCATAATAGTAACAAATGCTTGAGTGTTTACTACTTGCCAGAAACTAGACGCTTTCTGTGTGCTATCTCCCTCGATCCCCCTGGCATCCCCTGAGAGGGGCTGCTCTCTCCACTCATGGGAAGCTTCACCTAGAGAGTCTGGGTGACCTCCCCAGGACCCATGGGTAGTTAGTAGTAGAACCAGGATTCGAACATATTTTTTTTTTTTTTGGCTCAAAGTGCTGCCCGTTAACCACCATCGATGTTCCATTGATGTTCATTGAAATCCACAGGCTAGGATTTCATCAAGGACCAGAGCTGGAACCACGTTCTGGTAGTAGCTGACAGATGCTTAACAGCACATTGTCTGGGGATGAAGGTGAAGCCCTAATTGGTAACGTTTTTCAGTTTCTGTTATGTAAATATACCCACATAGTTGATCTCAAGCTATCAGTATGGCTTTGATTACTGGATTTTAATTAAGTTGATAAGAGGTTTTAATGATTGGTTCTGGGCCAGAGAGACAGTAGAGCAGACACGGTGCTTGCCTTGAGTGTAGTCAACCCTGACTTCTATTCCCAGCACTGCATTTGGCTCATCCAAGCCATGCCTATAGTGATCTCTGAGCACAGAGCCAGGAGCAAATTGAGCACTGCCAGGTGTAAACCCAAACCTTCCTCCTTCACCCCTGTGAAGGCCCCCAATTAGTTCCTGAGAGCCTTTTCAAGTTGTTTCTAGCACATCTGTGGTCTCTGGGCAGAGGAGAGTCACTGGCACAGCCCTTCGCTTGCAGAGGAATCTTTCCACGGCCTCTATAGTGTGCCCATGGGCTCATGTGTTTTCATCTAGTTTGAAAACGCCAGATAGCTCCATCAGTTAAGATTTCTGCTTCTTTCTACTCTGACTTATACTGAAGGGCCTTGGCTTAGAGTCGCTATGGCATATTGTAATTGGCTCTGATTTCTTTCCTCGTTTTTTGTACCTTATTTTTATTAGTAATTTTATTTTCTTTTTCTTAATGAGAGTAAAATCTTATGTCATAAACTGTGCATTTGTGTATGTTCCAAAACATGAATCTACCCTGGGAGTAAATGAGACTATAATTTATAATCCAGAATATTGTAGTAATTGTTAACTCTACATCTTGTAGTCATATTTGGTACATATAAATGCATTACTGGATTGTTGGGTTCACATTAGCTTCTAGCTTCTTTTTTTTTCCTTTCTTCTCTTTTTTTTTTTTTTGCACATTAGCTTCCTAAAATGCCATTTTCATCATATCAAAACTCTAAATCTTCGTGGCTTCCCCCTTGGTCCCCAGTCAAGCATTCAAAGCTCCCCGAGAGCAGCCACCCCTTTCACTTTCTTTCTGAAAATTATCTTCTTTATTCCCTGTATTTCTCCCAGGCAAATCTTTTACTTTATGATTCTGTTTATTCTTTTTTTCTGGAGCACCCTTTCCCTCCCCATCCTTTTGAATTTTGCCTAAAGCTTTTTCATATTTATTGAGATAAACATGAGGGGTTTCTTCATTCTTTGTTCTATTGGTATATGGCATATTACTTCAATTTGTTTTAAGATTTTAAGTCAACCTTGCATTCTTTCTGCAAATCACCATCATAGTGTATAATCCGACTTAGTTATTTATTTCACCTTTTTTTTAATATGTCGCTTGATTCAGATCATAGTATTTTGTTAAGGATTTCTGCACCTAATACATAAAAGACAATTATCTGTGTTATCTGTATTGTTCTTGTGGTGTTACTTTTTTGGTATCAGGATAATTCTTGTGTTAAATAATGATGTCTTAGAAAGTGTTCTTTCTTCCTGTTGGAGGTTTTGTGAAGGGCTGGTACTCATTTTTCTTAAAAATATTTAGTAAAATTTGCCAGTGAAACTTCTGAGTCTGAGTTTTTCCTTGTGAACAATTTCCCAATTACTACTTCTCTTTTCTTGTTATGGGTTCATATATATTTTTCTATTTCTTCTTGATCTTTTTGAGTTTTTGTCTGTCTAAAATTTGCCTATTTTCTGGTGGAGGGATGGGTGCATGATCATTGTATGACTGAAACCAAAGCACAAAAGTTTGTAAGTCTACAACTGTACCTCATGGTGTTTCACTAATAAAAAAAAATTAATTAATTAAAAATAAATAAATAAATAAAAATGGCCTATTTTGCCAGATGAACCTCCAGTGGCCACAAACTTCCGGAAGAAAAACACAGGCACATGGGACCAGGGACTAAAGACTCCAGGACACATGGTGGCGGTGAGGATGGTTAGTCCCTTCCCTTCTCCCGCTCCTTCGGGGTCCTGGTTGTCATGCCCACGAGCTGCCTCTGGGCCACAGTTAAGGGCACCACCAGTCTTGATCCAGAGACTCACAAATGAATCTCAAAATGAATTAGCTCCCTAAGAGATGTTTCCAGACCCCAATCATTTACAGTGTCAGAATTTCAGGAGCGGCCATGCGACCTCTCATGATATTCACAATAGCATTGTAGCACTGTAGCACTGTCCTCTCATTGTTCATCAGTTTGCTCGAGCGGGCACCAGTAACATCTCCATTGTTACTGTTTTTGGCATATCAAATACGCCACGGGAAGCTTGCCGGGCTCTGCCGTGCGGGTGAGATACTCTTGGTAGCTTGCTGGGCTCTCTGAGAGGGACGGAGGAATCGAACCCGGGTCAGCCACCTGCAAGGCAAACACCCTACCCACTGTGTTATTGCTCCAGTGATATATTCATAATAAGCAATAGAAAATAAATTATCTAGTATCTGCCTGTGGCAGGTAGGCTTGAATGGTTGTGGGAAAATTCGAAATAATGGTGATGGGAAGGTGTAATGGTGGTGGGATTGGTACTGAAATATTGAATGTAATCAATGTGAACAACCCTATGAAAATAAAATTAAAAAAACTTTTAAATGTCTGTTTTGACTGTTACCTATTTTTGGATATGATGATTTGTAGCATTTCTTCTCTTATTTTGGTTTTTGGAACACACCAGGCAGTGCTTCGGGTTTATTCGTGGATCTGAGCTCAGGGATTACTCCTGGCGTTTCTCAGGGACCACATACAGTGCTAGGGATTAAATCCGGGTCCACTGTGTACAAGGCAAGCATGCTACCCACTGTACTGTTGCCCTAACCCAGCATTTCTTTTTTGTCCTTAGTTTTCTTTGTTTCTACATGATTGGTAGCATTATTTCTTATTTCTGATTTCAGTTGTTTAAGTCTTCTCTCTTTTCCCCTTGGCCAGTCTAGCTAGAAACTTGTTTACTTTATCCTTTCCCAGGATGGCTTTGATTTGGGCGACTTTCTCCATTGTTTTTCTGTTCTCCACTAGATTTATTTCCACTGGAGTCTTTATTCCATCTTGCTTTGGGTTTAGTGAGCTCTTCCTTTTCTGAGATAAA